GGCCTACGTCATTGTCGAAAAAGTTACTTCACACACGCCCAGTGTCGCCATCAAACTCTGCCTGCACTTTGCACCGAGAGCCATGCATGCCCGTCAAGCGCGCCATGCTGCGCGCGCTGTGCCTCCGTCCTACATAGCATTACGTGACCCAGCTCGACGTCTTACCCGTCACGGCGTCACCTGGACCCTGCGGCCGCCTGACAGCGCGCCGTCGCCTTTCTTCACGTCCGTATTCCTGAGCTCCCAAGCCTTCCCGCTCGCTTAGACGATCAAACAAGGCAATACTGCTATTACCGTCAGCTCTGTCGGCGCTCCTCGTCGAGCGCCTCTGGCTGGCTTCTTGCTCGGCCTTGCCGGCCTGTAGAAAACGAGCCAATCCCGGCCGCGTCTTGCCCGCACTAAGCCCGGGTCAGCCAAAGGGCACGCGCGACCACCACAGCTATGCGTGCATGCATTAGGACACTTCAGCTTACTACTTCCCCAGGACTGCCGCACGATTGGATTCGCCGGGCAAAAAATAAACAAATCAAACCAAATATTTCCCCGTACCCCTACCAGAGAAGAGGCGCACTCCAACTGCACCGCAGCAGCCGTGTTCCTTGTCGCCCGCGGATATTGACGTCCCTTTCGGCCGCACCCACCGCGTGCCCAACGCCAGCCTCTTCTCCACTTGCAGAGTGGGCGCTGCGTGGCGCCCTGCTTGCAAGCCCAAGAGGTCCATTCTGCCACTTCGGGTGGACTATTCCTTTACAGTTCATGACGCTTTGCTTGCTTTTGCACGCTACAGCTTTGGTCTACTGCATCGATCGATGCGGTTTACACAACCAAAATCTCATTCCACCCCCAGGCACACCCCCACCCCCGCCGTGCGGGCGCAAACTGCACCCGCTCATCTCACACTCGTGTTGTTCAAGGTCGTTTGCGAGTGCATCCATTCTGAGAACGCCTCTCTCTCGGGCTTACACCGCTTTACACCGCCCTTTACAGAGTACATTCACGGTACGATCGACACCCCGCGTGCGGGAGCTAGTCATGCTAGTCTACACTGGGAGGCAGGGGCTCCCAAAGCACCAGTCTTGCTCGACTTTACCCGTACAAACTCCATGGCAGTGGGCCTAAGCATTTCTAATCGCCATTCCAGGTTTCTTGGAGGAGCTGCTCAGAATAGCCCCCGCTGCACACGGACGAGGCTCCGTTCCTCGTGGTCCCATCGCTTTCGTCTACGCCATCTTGGCCTGCATCGCGTTGCGCCATGGCCATTGGTCGCATGTTTCAGGTGAGGCGCTCACCGCTGCAGTCCCATCCTCACCACCAAACGCCGGCAGTCGATGCCGACTCGAGCACATACATATGCCGCAACCCAGCGTCTTAATGGTCCTAGCACTTTTTCAAACAATGATGCAGCACGTCGCATTTGCGTGGGGCGGGGTACCGTCTGCAAAGTCCCTGCTCCGGCATCGCATGGCACCATCGTTGCGCCATGGAGGGTAATTCGTAACACGATCACGATGCTTGGGTTTGCCACCTCTAGGGTTCCTGTGTGCATGCCCTCTCGCACACTCACCTTGCGCGCGCCTATGTAGGCTAACACGCACCTTTGAGCCCAAAACTCGGGCCCATGACCTTGGCAGGGCCTGATGGGGCTCTCACCGACTACGTCATATCGCCCATTGCTCTCTTTCTCGTATCGCTTCAACCGCTCTCCACTTGGGCATACCGTCTCCTCCCTTGCAAGCACAAGTCCAAGTCCAAGTCCAAGCGCCGGGCGCCGGGCGCTCAGGCACCCGCTACGTATCCGCCCTTCTAGTCGTCCCCACTTTTAGCCAAATGGAAAAACGAAAAAAACCCGCCTTTCCCCATCACGCGCTGGGCCCGTCTGACGCCTCACTCACACGGACGGACCAAGTTCCTGAACCGTACGATCTACATGTCAACACTGTGCCTCGGAACGAAGCGCAAGTCTTATTCTACGATCGTTGAGACATTGGGACTATTTACGTCGTTGCAGAGGAATTTTCCTTTTTTCTTCTTTTTCTTTTTTTAACCCAAACACCGCCCAGACAAATGAAATCGCCGCACCCCGCCGCCAAGCATGTCCATTCGTTGTTCAGTGTTGGCTAGATAGAAAGAAAAAAAAGAACAAAATGAAGAGCAATGGATAAGGAGAGAAAGGGAAGGAGAAAGAAAAAAAAGAATGTAGGGCTGGAGTGATCAACAACACCTCCACAAGCGCCCCTCCCTCCCCCCCCCCCCCCCACCACCCTCCACCCCAACCTTGCGCGAAAAAATTTAGTTAATACGTCTTTTCTAAATCAGGCAGGAGGGAGGCGTCTCGGAGTATCTTTTCTTTTTGATATCTTTTTTTTTCGTTTGCAAGAGGAAAAAAACGTGGTGGGGAGCCGTCTTTTCGTCTTGTGTTGTTGAGGTGCGAACACCATCTTTGCTTGCTTGCTTGCTTGCTTGTACTACATACACCACCACCACCACTGCTAAGTACCACTACCTTGAACATCCTCAGGCCAATTTAGCTTCTTGATCTGATTCTGTTTCTTCCTCTCTCTCTCTCTCTCTCTCTCTCTCTCTGTGTGTGTGTGTGTGTGAGTGAGACAAGACGCGCGTACATGCAAGTCTAGTTCAATCTTGATTTCCTTTCAAACACAAGGATGCTTTTCTATCTTTTACTTCTTTTTCTTTTCCTATTTCCTATCTCCTATGGGAGGGGGAAGGCTCAAAACCACGTTTTGACTTGCAACTGCATCTACACACATACACATACATACATACATATGCACTGTTGCAGTCTTTCCCTCTCTCTCTCTCTCTCTCTCTTTCTTGTCTTGCCTTTGACTTTGACTTTCCCCATGACCCAGAAACATTGCTATTAAAGTAAACCAAGAAAACAAATAACAACAACAAGAAGAAGGAGGAGAAGAAGAAGAAGAAGAAGAAGAAGAAGAAGAAGAAGAATAACGCCAGCAAACCATGGGTATAATCAATCATCCAAACGGGGTACTTTTCCACAAAGCACAGCCAAAAGGACGTGTATGCATGTGTATGCATGGAGAGAAAGAGAGAGAGAGACGAGAATAAGGAAGGAAGAGGGTGAAAAGTTCTCATCAAGGCTAAGCGGGAATACCAATTTCATAGCCCAGCAAGACCTCTGTGGATGCGCCCTCCCAGCCCCTACTGCCACCGGTAGAAATCATAAACGTGCACGTGGGGTCGAGATAGAGCTGCGAAATGACGCCTGTGCGATGGCCGGGGACAATGAGAAACGGGGTTGCAGCCGCACCGGTTTTGGAGCCGGTATCCTCGTGCGTGAGATCGTAGAGTCGAAGGATGTCGTATGAGGCGCTGTGTGTGAGACAAGCACATGTGAGTTAGTATATTTGGTGATTCCTTGGGGAGAGGGGAGTGGAGAGGGAGAGGGAAAAATGATGTTGCCATGTGACATGATGGGGGGGACTATTGTTTTAGGGGGTGGGGGGGAAAGGAAAAGTAGGGCCAACTTACCATACGAGATGTTTCCCATTAGGCATAGCCCGCACGGCACTCACGGCACCACTGACACTGGGAAACCTGAAAGTGCGGCGTGGCTCTCGCAGGCTCTTGTGCAGGCTGTACTCGTCCACGGTGCCGTTTCGCCTGCCGGCGTAGATGAAGTTGCCGTCGGGTGACCAGCACGCATTCATGCACCACGGCGGCGTGTTGCGCGGCGGAGTGATACGTGCCACGGGGTTGGGTTGCCGCCGGTCCCAGATGCGTAGTGTTCCGTCCATGGATGCATCGACAAACGTGGTTTCAGACGACGCCGGCTGCTCCGTCTGGTTCGCTGACGTGTTGACGGGCTTTTCAACGTCCTCGGCGTGCGGTAGCCCGTTCAGCGTGCCATTTGACTGCGAGTCTGCTGTTCCATTCGTGTCTGGCTGTGTCTCGGTGCCCGTGGCAGCCTCTTTGCTACCCTCGCCACTAGTCTCTTGAGGTTCTTGGACGGGGCCACCCAGGTCCAGCATGTCAAGGTCAGCGTTGGCATCTTCGTCGGCCTGCTGTATGCCATTGGCAATGGCTCTAGAAAACTCGTCGTCGTCATCGCCAAAAGAAGGTAGCGTCGCGGACAGGTTGTTCTCCTGGCCACCATCGCCGAACAACGAGTCTTGGTCCTTGTCTCCAAATAGCGAGTCATCCGGCGAGCCCTGGGCATCCTCGGTGCCCTCTTCTTTCACCAAAACAGGTTTTGTGTCGATGCCATTCGAGACGCTTCCGTTTGCTCTGGGCCGGGCGGAATTGTTCGAAGAAAATGTACCGTTAGCGAGAGGGATGGTTTCTGTATCCTGGGGTATGGGCAGTGTAGACATTGGGCGTTGCTCGATTGCAGAGATTTGACCGCCACTAGTCTCAAATTTCCTCTTGACTTGGCCAGTGTTCAAGTCCCAGTCGTTGATCGTCTTGTCCCAGCTGCCACTCAGAACCGATAATTCATCCTGCGCCAATGTCAAGACTGACACGGCCGAAGTATGGCTCCTGAGAGTATGTACCCTCGTCCCTTCTTGATGTCGCACCGTCTGCAGGTTAATACCTCCAGAATCCAGGCCGGAGAGTAGCCACAGGGCCTGGTGGTGCACCGCAAGCGAATAGATTGGTGACAGATTATCATTCGCACCCGCGTGGTCCTCGTTTTCCCAATAAGATAGAAGAACGCCTGCTTTGGTGACCGAGTCGACAAAAGGATGTCGCTGGGCGACGGTGAGAGCAAGCTTGCCGTTGGCGGTGTCTACCCAGTTGAATTTCCTTATATAGCCGTCTGCGCCGCCAGTAAAAACCCACCGCATGTCGGGCGTTGCTGTAATCGCATTGATCGAGGTGCTGTGGGGTGCGGCAATGGTGGGAATGATGTCGTACACGGGCGCATTCAGGGCTTCTTGTCGCATGCTTGGGCGGAAGGGGAGATTGCCTAGAACACCCGTGGCTGCTCCGGCGCGCGGACTCGGCGAGGTGAGTGTCACTGCCGGGTTGCCGTCTCCTGGGCCAGATGTGCCTCCGTTGGATATAAGGTTGCGCGAATGTTGTGCAGGGCTGTCTGGCTCGTCCTGGTCTTGATCCCCGTCCTGGTCCTGGTCTTGATCGTCGTCGTCGTTGTCCCCTTCGCCGTCGTCGTCATCGTTGTCGCCGTCGTCTCCATCGTCGCCATCGTCTTCCTCGTCTACGTCCATGGCATCGGCGTCGTCCTGCTCATCCTCCTCCTCGGCGGAGCCTGCGCGCGGTCAGCTAGACAGCTCTGGCCAGTGCTTGGGGGTAATTACTGGCGCCATTCTCGTAGTCATCCTCCTCATTCATTCTGCCTCCATAGGCGTAAGCTGTACTTGCTCTGGATCGAGAGGTAGACGGCGTTGTAGTCGCAGATTCAGTGCGCCGACGTTCGCGTTGGGGAACATGGATGAGGCTCGGCTTCGCGCGTCATGGCGGTGGAACGCGCGCGGGCCGCCCCAACCCAATCCACATCCGAACCGGGGGCGCCACACTTTACTCTGAACAACCAAGCCTTGGGATTTTACCTGCAAACAAATTCGGTGTATTTTAGCTACGTCGGTTCTCGAGTTTCGATCGTACAATACACAGGACTTACATACGGCACTGCTGGTACTGCTGGCTCGATCGGCTGGCATTATGAACAAATGCTTCTCACAAATGATGACCCAGCGTGGCATCTGGCCTGACTAACATTAAACATGTTTCCAGGAGAACACGGTTCATTCTCTACATTCATAAGCGGCTTTGACTAAACACAGGAGCGATTACGCTTACTTGACACTGCTTTGTACGTTGTTCAGCTCACAGCATCGAGATAGAAATCAGCATTCAGAGTTTGGTTAGACAGATATGCTGATCATGTTTTCAGCTGACTGGTTACAGACGGCTGACCAAGACTTGCTACAGAATGCACGTAATGCTGCGGTCAGGGCGTGGCTGTGCAGCGCAGGTCATACGCGGCCATGCGATGGTGGGGATGCCATGTGGCTGGCCCATGCTCCAACTTCAAAGTGGCAGCTTTCATTGCTGAATCAGAAACATACATGATACACCAAAAGCCGCCAACTCCATATTTGCCACGAGAAAAATCCTTTGGTCCCGCAGATTGTATAAACCTCCACTAGGCGACCACACCCTCTCAACTTCCGCACTGTAACTCTTAACCCTCGCAACTTCTTAGGGCACCATTACTGCTGCCTTGGTAGAGGGAATACGTGGCCATAGCCATTCCTTTTTACAACTCTCACTCGATCGCACTCTTCCTCACCAGACATGTTCAACCGAGACCGAATGCCAGGTCTTCCTGGAAGCTCTCCGCGACCTCCACAACGCAACGACGGATACGGACAACCCCCGCAACAGCAACCACCTCAGCGCAGCCCCGACCCCAGAATGGCAGGCTACGATAATCGGCAAGCACCTGGCTATGGTGCTCCACCGCCTGCTGCTCAGCGTATGCCTGCAAGAGCGCCCCAGGGAGGTGGCGGTGGAGGACCGGCAAGACAATTGCGCCCCATCAAGAGCCCTGGAGGTAATGCCTATGCCTTTGGTAACATGTATGTATACACCATTTGCTACGACCCGCTTTATCGTGTGGCCATCGCAACGTCACGTTGACCATGCGCTTTCTCTAACAATACACAGTGTTGCGGTATCTCCTCAAGATTTCCAACCGAACCCCGACGGCTCCGACATCTACATTCTTCTCAACGGAAACTTTGCTCTTTCTGCCCGCCCTACACAAGGATGCCAACCGGGCGAGATTGGCCTTACAGACGCACAACGAACATGGGCCGGCATATCACTTGGTCCTCAAGAGGTCGTCATGGCAGCGCCATACGATCACTTTAGCCAAAGCAACGGAAAGTCGTACTTGGGGACAGTGGACGTAGAAGTCGGGTTTGCAGGAAGGAAGGCTACCGAAGTGCCGTATGATCAGGACGAGCTTGCAACATTGTTCAAGAAGAACTTTGAAAACCAAATTCTGGCTCCTGGCCAACAATTGCTCATGGACGTCAAGAACATACCCCTCAGGATGTCGATACGAACTGTACAGCTTGCCGACCTATCCATGGAAAAGGAGGAGACGGATGCCCCCTCCCTCACTGATCCGCGAGCCCGTGGTATTCTGACAAGGCACACCCAGGTTGATTTCTTCAAGGATGCTCGATCAGAACTCAAACTCAAGGCATCGGCGAGGCGAGCAGCAGCAAACTCCATTATTCAGCCAGGATTCAAGTTTGAAGACATGGGCATTGGTGGGCTTGACGCCGAGTTCAGTGCCATCTTCCGGAGAGCCTTCGCTTCGCGCATCTTTCCTCCAGGCATCCGGGAGAGACTAGGTATCGATCACGTCCGTGGTATGCTGTTGTATGGTCCCCCTGGAACTGGTAAGACGTTGATTGCAAGGCAAATCGGAAAGATGCTCAATGCTCGTGAGCCCAAGGTCATCAACGGTCCAGAGGTTCTGAACAAATATGTCGGAGCGTCTGAAGAGAATATCCGAAAAATGTTCGCAGACGCAGAGAAAGAGCAAAAGGAAAAGGGCGACGAGAGTGGCCTTCACATCATCATCTTCGATGAGCTCGACGCGGTGTGCAAGCAGAGAGGTTCTGGTGCTGGCGGAGGTACCGGCGTTGGCGACAGTGTCGTCAACCAGCTGCTGTCCAAGCTGGATGGTGTGGACCAACTGAACAACATCCTTCTCATCGGTATGACGAACCGTATGGACATGATTGACGAGGCCCTTTTGCGTCCTGGTCGTCTTGAGGTGCATTTGGAGATCTCGCTGCCTGATGAGTCGGGTCGCGCCCAGATTCTGAAGATCCACACTACCAAGATGCGAAAGAACAACGTCCTGGAGGCGGACGTCAGTGTTGAAGAGCTTGCAAAAATGACAAAGAACTTTTCGGGTGCCGAGCTGAACGGTTTGGTCAAGGCAGCAACATCGTATGCCTTTGGTCGGCATCTTCAGGGTGGCACCACAGTCAAGGCAGACGTTGAGAATATCAAGGTCATGCGTCAAGACTTCTTGAATGCACTGGACGACGTCAAGCCGCTGTTTGGTGTTGCTGAGGAGGAACTCGGCAAACGATTACGCCACGGCATCATTCACTATTCATCCTTCATCGAGGACATCCTGCAAGATGGACGTCTGTACATTAACCAGGTCAGGAAACCAGAGTCAAGCCCACTGTTGTCTGTGGTTTTGCACGGACCGCCTGGCTCCGGAAAGACTGCGCTAGCATCCAAGATGGCCATTGATTCGGGCTACCCGTTCATCAAGTTGATTTCGGCTGAAGACATGATCGGTTACAGCGAAATGCAGAAAGTGCAGCAACTCGATAAGACATTCCGAGATGCGTACAAGAGTCCATTGAGTGTCATTGTTATTGACTCCATCGAATTGCTCTTGGACTGGGTGCCTATTGGTCCTAGATTCAGCAACACTGTCTTGGCTGCATTGAAGGTGCTTCTCGGTAAGGAGCCACCAAAGGTATGTTGGAGATTTGCTTTTTTTTGCAAAGGAGCCCAGGCTAACTAAACCAGGACCGTCGTTTGCTGATTTTCGCAACAACCACTGAGCGGTCGGTACTCACTCAACTAGATCTCTTTGCTCGTTTTGATGCCGAGATTGCCGTGCCCAATGTCAACACGCAAGCCGAACTCGCAAACGTCTTGCGGGAATCTGGCGCCTTTTCGGATTCCGATCAGCAGCGGGCAATCAGTGAGATTGAGGAAATTACCGGAAGCAGAGAGGTCGGGGTCGGCATCAAGAAGATCCTCACGGGTATCGAGACGGCGAAACAGGACCAGGATGTCCCAGGCCGTTTCGCACGGGTCATGTCGCGTGCAATTGCAACCAACAGGGGATCGTAGTGTAATCACGACTTGCATGGAGGGTTGAATAACACGTGCGGGATGCATCAAGCTCATCCGTCACACGTATCATTGGGAAGCCATGCATAAGCATCGAAATCTGTGCTGATACTAGTAACAAGCTATAGATTATGCTGTAGATCTAGTAAAATAGACCATTGTCGTCCTAGATTCCAATCTACAATATGTTCTCGTCTACGCTATCACATCGGTATCTTCATCCACCCAGGAGAAGGGATAAAAGTAATTTCCCCTATTTCCTTGTCCTTGTCCTTGATACCGGGAGAAAGAGATGAAAAGAGAAAAAATTCTCAACGTCGTACAACATGATGCATGTCCCCCCGCCCCGTCCACCCTTCCCAGTTGTTATTGGCGCCCCCCCCCTTCCACACACACACTTCACGCCCCAACCTGTCACTGTCAGGCCATTCTCCGATAACCTTGCATCTTGACACCCGTCTTGTGATTTTGTGCCACATGATGCTTTCTTTTCTTTTTTGCTCCCCCACATTTTTGCTCTCTCTCTCTCTTTTTTTAGTCTCGCTCTTTCCCCCCCACCCTGTTGCCCCCCATGTTCGCTGTGTTGGTATCCAAGTGATACGCGTATACCACACAGACAAACACACATATATCCATGTAAAACATGTGCGCTATCCCTGGTTAGAATTCAGGAAATACGGATAAATAATATATCTATCATGCTGAAAGGAATGTCGATATTACCCTGTAATGTGTAGATTTGATGACGTTTTAATAGTCCAACACGTCTCTGAGTAATCCCACCTCTCACTTTCCCCTCTCACCTTTCTCTCTCTCGCCGCTACTTATGTATGACATGTGGCTTCTCTTACTAACCAGCTAGCTTTCCTCCTAGCTCAATACCCTAGCTAATTAGCCACATAGTTAGTCAGACTTTGGACTTGGGATTGCCCTTGGTTGTTGCTTCTGGCTCCGCGGCGAGGGGCGTTGTAAAGTATGTAAGTAGAGCTTTTGGGGGGTGTTGGGTTGGATTTACTGGATTACGGGATTACGGGATTACGGGATTACGGGTGCTGTGGGGGGGGGGCGGGCAGATGGGATGCTGTGCTGTGATTGTGATTGTGGCTTGTTAGGTATGTATGTAGATGGGTGGGTGGGTGCCACAGCATGTGCATATGTATATGTTGGGCCGTTCTTATATACTATCTCGTTTTCTAGCCTTTTGCTTGATGGCTGTGAGAGAGATGGGAATGAAGGCGAGACAACGAACACGTATATCAAGTGTTTGACTTGAATCTTCCTCCTAACGGGACGTCACTTTTTATTTTATTTTTTCAGCTTACCGTGAGAACATCTGGCTATTAGCTCTTTTATTTCCCGCTGTTTTACATGCCCATGCATGCATGATACCATGCATGTACTCACACTGCATGTGTGCAGGAACTCGGTTGTACGCAAGTGAGAAGCAATGCTTTGCTTTGCATTTCCGAGGTGACACCCGGCAAGCATTGCGGCGAGGTGTGTTTTTGTTCGTGCATGTTAGCCCATGTCGGTAGAATGTAATGAGAGAGAGGGGAGGGGGGGGGGCATGATGCATATGCGCTAGAGTGGCCGGATGAGGTAATAGCAGCACATGCAAGTTCACGCATAGTCTTTGAGCGTGGCATGCGCCAATCAGGATGCACGGGGAGGACTTGTTTTATCGTGTCAAGCTAAGACTGGTCGTGTAATCATGTGTCATTTCATGTACGTATTCATAGGTGAAGTGGTGCCCCACTCACTTAGGATAAGGAGGGGCTTCGGGTGTTTTGATCACATGAGCAAGGTGCATCAACAATGGAAAGATGATATTCAACAAAAATTTCGCAAAAGGCCGTAGCAGAAACAACGCCCCCCCTCCCCCTCCTCCCGTGACTTGACCAGCATGATACCAGCCACATGGTCCCCCACTCACCATCATGACGCCAGTCCAAAAGTAAAGCAAGGTCCCTGAACCAAGGAGACGAGAAAAAAAAATAGAGAAACAAACGCTTTTCCACCACCCAGGGACCGTTGTGTCGGGCTACCACGATATCCTCCCACTTTCAACGAATGAAAATCCTCACCAGCTCTCATTCGGCGCCTAGGAAACCGGCCGCTGGCAACGAGGCACGTCAGCTATGCGCCCCATTCCTGAGCCAGATGCCGTTTACAAGCCGCCATTCGTTCGCTAGCTACCAGCAAGCGCGCAGCACTTGCATCAAGCGGCGGGCCGAACCGCGTCACAATTCCTGAAAAAGAAAAGCTGGTGTGTGGGACGCTAAAAGCAGCGAGGCCGGCTGCCGACGGGTGGAGCATAGTGGAGCTGAAATCGTGAACGACAGTTCGCAACTCTAAGCTCACTTGTTCAATTCGAGCTCCGTGACAAGGTGCTGGGGATCCGTGAGATATCAAAGAAAACCAAAAGACTCCAGAGGGGTTGTAAAGTGACCGAATGCCGCCCGTAATTTGAGAAACCGAAAGTTGTATGTTGGTAACATCCACAGGCCAAAAGGCGAATTTGAAAACGCCGAATCCAGCTAATAGTCGACGGGTGCTGGGTATTTGCTTTGTGCGGCGCGGAATTGCTCTGGGTATTTGCGTGCGGCTCGGTTGTTCAGTGAACTGCAGTGGGCGTTAGTTTTGTAGTCGAGTTTGGCCTTCAAAGTAAACCTACTCGACCCGCTTCTGAGTCCATTGCAAGTCCTTTTGCACTTCTTTCGCGGCTTTCATGCCATCCGCAAAGTTCATGCGGGCGCCAGCCAATCGTCGCTGTGCCAGTGCTTGCAACTCGAGAAGTTCGCGGTGCTTAGCATTCAGTTCACCGGATCTGCGGAAGTGTGTCAGTCACACGACTCTAGCGGACCGCAAGTAATCGCGGTTCTATTAATAGATATCGGAAACTTACGTTTGGGCTTGCTTTGCCAAACTGCGGTCGAGTGGCATGGGGTCGAAAGAGCCAATTACACGGCTACCCATGTAGTCGAGGAGATCGACGCTGGCGGCGCCGCTGGTTGAATCGTAATCGCTTGCACTGCCAGCATAGTTGCTCGAGGTCGCGGATGGCTCGTACGACGGCACACCAGACGTTGTAACGCTGTTTGGGGCTTCGGGTGGTGATCCCACCATGCGTCCGTAGGCGGGTTGTTGGTTGGGGAAAAAGAAGCCAGGCTTCTGGGGCATGTTGATTGGGTAGGAGGACTGGGGGTAGTTGTGGAAAGATTGAGCAGAAGCCATTTTGGATAGAGTAAATTTTGCCTGTAGGCTTGGATGGTATGCAGAGTAGTCTACTGGCGTAGGGTGCAAGAGGCTGGACAGTGTAAATGGATGGTGAAGAAAGTCGATATGGGAAGCCAAGCCAACGATATAGATGTAGCAAAGTTGCGGTGATATCTTCAATGAAAAGAATAGAGAGTCAGAAAGTAAAGATGAAGGGCCCGCACAAAGAGGCCTTTTTATACCCTTTCACTCGAGCCATGCTAAGAGCATGCGGGTCTACGGGGCGTGGCTCTGACCCCTCGATGCCGACTGATGGCCGCAACCCCGCCCCTGTGATGATAAAGCTGCATAATATCACATCCACTGAGGCCAGCTTCCGCTGGAGCCGGAGGGTTGAGCGTCATTTAGACTGGGCTGGATGGCGGCCCCTTGAGCGTGGGCGGCAGGCGATCCACGATACCTCGGGGCAATGCTGAGTAGTTGCCATGCCAATTGGCCGGAGCAGGAAACTAGTGGAGCGTGGGCTCAGCTCGTGTCGGCACAAAAGGTTCGGCGGAGCGAATTGGCGTGCAATGGCAAAAAGTTGCGACTGTGGACGCAGTGCCGTCGATGACGGGCGGCCATGGGCAGCTAAGGGCAGCGCGGGCGAGCAGGCGCGGGCGATGGCCATGGCAATGGGCAGTTAAAGCAGCGGGCGTGTCGAGGTGTACATGCATGGGTAGTCTGCCGGACGGGCATGCTAAGTGTTGTCAAATTGATGCGTTGGCTCGACAGCTGCCAGCGCCCTGGAGCATGTAATCTGGGGCGGGATGCAAAGGATCAGACAGCGCACCCGACCGGTGGCGACATGTGGCTAAACGACATGGAGCAGCGAATGGCGGATGGCGACGCGGCGGGCAATGGGTTGGCGGCGTGTCCTGGGGTGGGTTGTCTTTTTTTTTCGTAGTCATGGTCAAGGGCATGGAAGGTCGTCGACGAGCATGCGGGACTAGCAAAGCCCACCAAGCCCCGCCCAGCTGTCGGCCGCGCCCCTCGCCGGGCGCCGGTGCGTCATGCTGCCAGCCACGCCGGTGCGCGCGGCCATTGGCTGCCCACGCGAACCCAACGTCTGCCATGCCATGTTCGCATTCGTCTTACCTGGCACCACCTCTGAACGCCCATCCCGACGCCCTCCAGCTGCTGGTCGACTGCTCTCCGACGCTCCCAGTGTGGTGACAAGTGGCGGTGAGGCATCACCCTTGGCCCGCACACCCGCACACCACCCCTCACTGCCCTCGTCGGCGACTACTTTCCACACGCATGCCATGCCCTTGCATGTACCACTACCCGCTTCCTCTGTAGTACTACCCACAGTCCAGCTAACTCTGGGCGTGCTACCCGCGTGCCCTGTCTCGCTTTCCAACCCCCTTCTGGGCATCGACTTCCTCGTCCTGACAGGGCGTGGCACGTTGCGCCCGGTAGATGGACTTGGCCGGCGTGATCCTTTGCTCATGGGAGAAAAAAGTCACGTTGGGACTTGGCCGGCGCTGTGCGAGCCAACCCACTGTCACAGCTGTCAAAAAGCGCCCATGTGAGCAGCACGTGGTGGCTCCCTTCAAGCCACTGTGGTACCGAGTGCGTAGTGGTTGGCTCTCGGCCATCGTCGTCGACTCAAGTCCCCGGAATAGAGACCTTCTGCGCCCCACAGAACCACCCGCCGAACTGGACATGTGCTATCGGTACCACCCCACTACTACCGAGGATGCGCGGCTGGGATCATGTCCAAGAAGGGCAGTCCGTCCTGCAGGCTTCGGTAGCCATAACGTTCGCCTAGCTAGCTGGCTGTATGTACGACATGTGGACGAGCATCTGCCCCTGTACGTGGCACTTGCTCGGACAAGGCCACCTCTGATAGCGAGAACCACTTATATTCCATTGCTGTGGTAAGGGCTTGCCGCTTGGGGAATCAATCTCTTCCCAAATGAGCGTCTCTCGGCATAGTCGAGAGGGTGTCTCTGTGCATATTGATATGTTCCAGGCCACCGGTCCCAGGGATACTATCCTTGTGAAACTCTCGGTTCCCTGTTCTTTGCATTTTTAGCACTTCTAACGCCTGTCGTCGAGACCTTCCTGTCTCTGTACTAGTGCCCGAAACCGAGGGCGCCGCCATAACCCCCCTTGTCCTCACCAACATCTCATGCGCGGTGGTCTGACCCTAGAGTGGTTATGTGCGCACGCTCACGTGTTCTAGCACCCACTGAAGTATACCGTTGTTGGTTGTTGCTAGACTGGCGGCTGCACTGCGATATTTGAAAATACGCTCAACAGCTTTAGTGAGGCGCCACAGAATCCCGACGTCTGCTAATTCCCTACTTGGAAGAGTGCCTTTCCAACTCTATATCAACGTCAGTAACAAGTGAGAGATGCCATGACTACCCAGAACTTACACTGTCCACTGCTGCGTTTTGCAAGCCTTACCCAGGGGTCTTCAACGAAGCTCGGTAGAAAATACGCCGTATCCCCATGCTCATTCTGAACGCCGTTGCGTAACGCATTCAATTCTGCTCTTGAGACGGGAGGTCCGCCAAACGACATCATTTCCGTGGTAGAATCCTGGCCCAGATCTGGAAGACCGGGTGCCTCTTGGGCGCCAAGCGGAGGCTCGGGAAGATTCTGGCCACGGGCTAGGAAGCTGGCAAGACCCGAGCCTGTTGCTTGGGACTTTGTTGGCGCATCTCTCTGAGTCTGGGCTGCTTGGTTCTCTTCAGGACCGTCTTCATCAGCGCCGGCGACTTTCTTGGTTCGGACTCCCAACTTGGTAGAGTTGGCACCGCTGGCATCAGCCTTGGCCTTGGGCGAGCTGGCGTGGTCGAATTTGCGCTTCTTTGTTCCTCCAAACGAGGAAAACCCCATGGCTGCGGCCATGTCAATGTTGTCTTCTTCTTCCATGCTGGGTGCGTGTCTGCTCTATTGCGCTGCCTGTTGGTGGAGGCGATTGGAAGACGACAAAGTACACAACGAAACACTGGGTAGATTACATAAGACGGCGCTAACGGTGTGTGGGCCAATCGGAGTAGCCCAGACTCCTACCACGGGCCTTCTCCCTTTGCAGCTCTGAGATGACGTTGACCGAGGAAACTACTGGCGCGCTGTCGGGATGTGGCCGTCTTCAGTGGTCTCAACACATCACTCCACGAATCAAAGCACGTGCGCAGAAGCAGAGTACCACGCGTGTGGTTCTGGCGGCCTTAGCGCCACTGGGTATTGCATCTGCGCGTTGGCGTGGTTCGTCCACCACGCTCAGAAACGCCCCCACGGCGCCCTCTGCCCTTCTCCATGCTCGTTCTCTTCATCCTCTAGTCCGCTCACTGGACTCTGAACGAAACCATGCTCCCCGCGGAAAGCGAGGCGCGCTCCTCGCCGGCGTCCCCGGTTCAGCACCGCTTTGTGCGGCCCAATGTAAGCCCTGTCCTGGGGCCTTGCGCATGGATGGAAAGCTCACCAGAAGCCACAGATGCGGTCGGCGACCATGATCCAGCCGCGAACGGGCGAACGCGTCAAGAGAGCCTTCACCCTGCGTAGATCTCGACACCGCCGGACCCGCTCTACAGAGATCCTGCTTGCGCCTGGCCAGTTCGAGACGGAGAGATACCGAGAAATGGGAAGAGCAGAACGCTTGCGCGAGGCATTCAAGCGCAGGCTGCGAGAAGCTCATGCATATGCGACAAGTCCTGCCGGGGTGGGAATACTGAAATGCTCGATTGCCTATGTACTCGGATCGCTGGCTACGCTGGTGCCCGCGATAGCTGCGCTGCTGGGCAGAAACGACGGCAAGCACATCGTCGCAACCATCACCGTCTACTTTCACCCGGCGCGCTCAGCTGGCAGCATGCTCGAGGCTGTCATGCTTGCCTTTGCCGCCTTCCTCTACGCCACCTTCGTTTCATTCTCCAGTATGGCTGTCTCCGTATACTTTGGGAATAACCATCTTTTGGTCGTCGGCCATGTCATAGTGCTCATTGTCTTCTGTGGAGGGGGCCTTGGCCTTGTTGGTTGGACCAAGCACAAGTTAGGCAACCCGCTGGTGAACGTGGCATGCTCCCTGACTTCCCTTGCTCTCATCACCATCTTGACCAAAGAAGGGGCTGTCCAAGCAGCCAAGTTTTCATACGCCAAGGTTTGGCAGGTCCTGAAGATGATCATCATGGGCTGCACTGCATCAACGGCTGTATCGCTTCTCGTCCACCCCAGCTCGGCACGCAAGGAGTTTCGCGACACGTTTATTCAGTCCACCGATTCCATGGCAGAGATGCTGAATGGGATTGCTCTCAGCTTTCTCTCCGGGTCCGAACAAGACCTCAAGAGCGACTCGTTTGTCAAAGCCTCGGAGCGAAGCCAAAAATCATTCAAACTGCTGGCCAAGAACCTTGGAGAAGCCAAGTTTGAGCACTACGTACTGGGCACCGAAGCAGAGTTCAAGATCCACTCCAGATTGGTCAAATGCGTCGAGAAGCTAATGCAGAGCCTGGGTGGATTGCGAAGTGCTGCTGAGACGCAGTTCACATTGATTGCGCAGTCGGGGCCCCATGGGATACCTTTTGGTCCCACACCTACTAATGGGTCGCTTACTTCCTCGACCTACACAGACCATGCCATGTCACAAAGTCCCCCTTCCATGATGTCTCCTGGTCCAAGGCATACAAACATGCGAAGTAGTATTCTCGCCTCTATCGACGAAGTGCCAGAAAGCTCTGCTGAAGGCTCTGCATTCGCCTCGGCTGCTGAATCAGACGACGAGACTACTCCAACGAGAAGAAAGTCGACCAACTCCCTCAGTCTCTCGCAATCAAACTTTACGTCTGCTGATATATTCTCCGTCTTCATAGCCCAATTGGGACCGCCAATGGTAAGTCTGAGAATCTACGCTCCCCTTCTCCACTAACCACATCAGAAATCGCTTGCATACACCCTGCAGGAGGTACTTTCCGAATTGCCGTTTGGTCCAGGCCCCGAGTACAACATAGCCATCAACGAGCACTTTCGCCATAGCCTGATCGATGCGAAGGCGCTGTTCTCGAATGCACGCCGAGAAGCCCTCTCAGGCATCTATGAGAACAAGATACCAACAAGACTAAGCTCGGCAGCGGTTGCAGCTGATTTTGAAGAGGTTGCTGCAAGCTGCGGGTATTTCAGTTCATCGTTGATTGATTTTGCCGAAGACATGGTAGGGTTCCTCGATCTTCTTGAGGAGCTCAAGGCCAATGTCAACCGCTATCCGCGGCAGAGAACGTACAACTGGCTCAAGTTCTGGCAAAGATGGCACAAGAAGGGCCGGGCTGGTGACGAATTTGAAGCGGCTGGTCTTATTCCAGATGACGAGGACCATATCCCCGAGGGCCCGCGTGAAATTCACAATCCCATTTATCGCAAGTCAACTCGTGGAGACCCGTACAAGTCAGAGAACGAACAGCCATTGTCTTACCGAATATGGACATCGCTAGCAGCATTCAGAAGAGACGATCTCAAATACGCGGTAAAGGTTGGTATTGGAGCTGTGCTTTACGCAATGTGGGCATTCATCCAACCGACAAGAGCCTTTTACAGTCGATGGCGTGGCGAGTGGGGTCTGTTGTCATACATGTTGGTTTGTTCCATGACAATCGGAGCCTCCAATACCACGGGCTATCAGCGTTTTGCGGGTACCTGCCTGGGTGCCGTGCTGGCTGTTGCTGCATGGATTGCGGCTGACGAGAACCCTTTTCTTCTTGGCTTTTTCGGTTGGGTCATCTCCCTTTTTTGTTTCTACATCATTGTCGGCAAAGGCAAGGGTCCCATGGGCCGTTTCATCTTGCTAACGTACAATCTTTCCGCGCTCTATGCCTACTCGCTTTCCACCAAGGTCGATGATGATGACGATGACGAAGGTGGAATCTCGCCTGAGATATGGGAGATTGTAACACACCGAGTGGTCGCGGTCATGGTTGGTTGCGTTTGGGGTATCATTGTAACGAGGCTTATCTGGCCCATCTCGGCACGCCGCAAAGTCAAAAAAGGCACATCTTTGTTGTGGCTGAAAATGGGCCTGATCTGGAAACGAGGGCCCCTCAAGACCCTCCTCGAATCCAATGCGAATGCATCTCCGGTACACTCGTTCATGTCTGAGCGCGAAGAGCTTGAGCTGCGCAGGTACCTTTCTCACCTGGATGCGTTGCGCACAGCCGCAACTGCAGAATTCGAGCTTCGGGGCCCTTTTCCTAACAAGAGTTTCCAAATCATCCTCGGTGCAACAAGCCGACTATTGGATAGTTTCCACGCAATGAACGTTGTCATACTGAGAGACCTGAAAGCATCAGAGGGCGAGAAGGAGGCCTTGAGGTATACTCAGAGAGAGTGGACAGAGTTGAGTTGGCGTATCAGTCACTTGTTCTCAGGTATGTTTCACTTCAGGTGGCAATTGAAACGAAGGCTAATGATTGAACAGTCATGGCATCCTCCATGAAGCTAGCATACCCGCTCAATGACGTTCTACCTAACATTGAACATACGCGTGACCGTTTGCTTGCCAAGGTCTTTGAGTTTCGGCAGCAGGACCTGGGCCAAGTCATCGCCACGGACGAAGATTTCGAGTTGCTATATGCCTATGGTGAGTCCGCTCGAACTATACGTGAGAATGAGCCGTCACCACTAACTCCAGAGCAGCGCTGGTGACTGGACAGCTCGCACACGACTTGACTGTTATCGGACAGGAAATTGAAAAGCTCTACGGTGTTTTGAGCGAGGAGGACTTGAAGCTACAGTAATGTGAGCATTGCCACTTTGTGAATAGCTGGTCATGTTCACTACGAATGAGCTTGCATTCTTTAAACCGCGCCCTAGCACGTTGCTATGCCCAGACTGTGATCGCCCGCTAACATCCTGGGGGAGGGGAATACTTGGACCCCAATCAGCAGTATGCCTGACCTTAATGGAGGGGCGGAGCCGGGGGCGCAGTTCTGACTGGACATGTACGAAGGGACTCTTCAGCTAGCTCGGGATGACGGCAAAATGAGTCACTATCGGCCATATAGACCTCATCTTTGGAATCCGGACCCAGCGCCAATTGATGGAAATCGCATGCCCATCGCCATGGATGCAGTAAGCTAATGTCTGTAGATGGTTATGTGACGTATGGACATTGTACTGCCGGTGTTTGGCTGCAAGAGATCCAGGATGCGTGAGGGGTATCTGCACTTCCTCTTCTTAGATGTTGCAGCGCGATGCGCCCTAGCATGCAATGCGACGCCCTCATCGAGTGCACGACGGGAGTGATGTGAGCTTCACGGTAAATTTGGTCCTATCATTGTTACTCTTGATGCACGCCCAGCGTCAGGAAAGACGGCGAGATCCGATGTGCCTGAGCCGACCGTGCCTAGGTGCATATCCAGTCCAAGTCAGCCACGCCGAGCGATTGTCATGCGACGAGGTTGTTGTGCATCCAGTCGTGTGTTGCGTTGCGTATGTGGGTGGGAAATGGGCTAGTAGTCACGTGACGGGCTTGGCGCTCTAAGCGATCACGCACCTGGCGTGGAAATTACCTGCACCTTTCAGCTTCAACAACGGTAAGTCGACAACGGACCACGGACGACAACAACATCGAAAATGTAAGGATCCCCGCCTAGAAAGCCTCCAGCACTGCTCCGAAGAGCAAACCCGCACCCGCTGCACACTCGTCGCCTCGCAGTCGTGTCTCTGAGACGCGCGAGAAGTGGCGAACCCCTCTTTCTCCGGCAGCATCCTACGTCGCCAACAGCCGCACAATTGATCAAAATACTGACACGGATTGCTTGATAGGGTCAACCTCCGCACTCAGAAGCGCCTCGCGGCCTCCGTGGTTGGTTGCGGAAAGCGCAAGATCTGGCTCGACCCCAACGAGGTCAGCGAAATCGCCAACGCAAACTCCCGCCAGACTGTCCGCAAGCTCGTCCAGGATGGCCTCATCATCCGCAAGCCCGTCACCATGCACTCGCGTGCCCGCGCCCGGGAGCTGAACGCCGCCCGACGAATTGGCCGACACCGTGGCTTCGGTAAGAGGAAGGGTACCAAGGACGCTCGTATGCCAAGGTATGCAATCACGTTGCCTTTTCTACGCTGGACATGAGGAAGGAGAAGCGTTGTGGGGGGCGTTGTGCGAGTTGGGAACCGTTGACTAATGCGGGTGTCTACAGCCAAATCGTCTGGATGCGCCGTCTCCGTGTCCTCCGTCGTCTTCTCGTCAAGTACCGCGCCGCCGGCAAGATCGACAAGCACCTCTACCACGAGCTCTACCTTCTCTCCAAGGGTAACACCTTCAAGCACAAGCGTGCTCTCGTTGAACACGTAGGTTGCCCATGACATCATGACTGTCAAAGCCCCGCTCCATGGACGGTAACTAATGTGCATGTATAGATCCACAAGGCCAAGGCCGAGAAGGCCCGCGAGAGGATCATCAAGGAGGAGATGGACGCCAAGCGCGCGAAGACCAAGGCGGCTCGCGAGAGGAGGCAGGAGCGTATCCAGCAGAAGCGCCAGGCTCAGCTGGGCGACGATGCGGAGTAAGGAAGGGATGTCGTGACGAACACCGGGCGTGGGTCTTTTCAAGGTTAAAGGAGGGCGTCAATCTCCTTTTTATCTGGGCATATGCGGTCATGTTTCATGTTACGTCTGTGAAGGACTTCTCTCCATGCATATTCGACCGACATGGCTGCCCACTCTGATTTTCGATGCTATGACTGTACCAAATAAAAAAAGGCATATGAGCGTCGGCATTAGAAACCAGTAGTCAATCTTGGAGTTGGTCTGCTTTGATGCACTGAAGGTGTTTACGACTATTACTGTGACGATATGGCTGTATTGCAGGGTCTTCTTTGGAAGATGTCTTGATTGTTCAGTTACCCGAGTGCGCTCCTGTCAAAAGTCCACAACGCGCCCATTTCCCGCACAGGGTATCAAGGGGTTCCCAACGCCTAATGTAAACGCCATATCCAGTGCCAACTCCAGCGCCTCGCCTTGTCCCTAAATCTGCATATAGTCAGCACAGACTCTCGCACACACGCACGCTGGGCAGTACTCACCAATTTCAGCGCGCTTCTATGCACGTTCCTGGTGAAGTTGAGCATGGCCTTGGCCTTGTTGTTGCCCCTCTGGAGCCGGCGGTAAGCCTCCTGCACATGGACTGGTTGAACAGGCTCCCTAGCCTCCTCTGGGGGATCGAACAAGCCCCTCTCCCTCTTGCGCTTGAGGCGATTCTGCTCTCCGCCATGGTTCTTCTTGTACAAGTCCTCTGCATCCTTGACCTTGAGCGCCTCCTCTGTGAGCGTCTGGACAATCTCAAAGGTCAGGAAGCCCAGGATGTCAATGATGTCGTCCGAGGGCTTTGAATCGGTAATAAGGCCGAAACCCGCCCACTCCTTGAAGCGCTTGCCTTTGCGGTAGGTGAAGGAGGCCTGGCGGCAGTCGGACCAGTGCACGTATTCCTCGCGCGTCATGTTCTTTGTGCGTTCGTCTGCGTTTTTCAGGCGCTGCAGCGTCGCGTAGTTCATTTCCTCTTCCTCCTCGTCTTCCACGTCGTCTTTTTGTGGCGGGATCTCCGTGAAGAAGGATTGCACGTCCCAGACCAGATCGACTTTGGCCCGCTTGGCCTTCTTGGACGCGTCGACGGGCGCGGCCCCAGGTCCGCCTGCGCCTACGACGCCAGCGGCAATGTCGGCATCGCCGGCTCCCACGTCGGCACCTGCATCGCCGCCTTTGTCGTCCGAGTCTTTGACCGAGCGCCGCACGTCTTTCCATTGCAGAAAGTGGCGTAGCCGCGAGATTTTGGCCCGGTCGTGCCGGATCAGCATGAACAGGTCGTCCGTAGCTATCGATTTTGAGCCGCGCCGCGTTGCGAGCACCGTGCATTCTCGCAGCATGTGCTGCACTTGGTCTTGCACAATCGACTCGATCAGAGTGGTTGTTTCGGGTGAGGGCTCGCCGGTCTCCCCGGAGACAAACATCATCTGCAGGTCGGTCAGACAGAGGTTGACCTCATCCGGAAACAGATTGTCGGGTAACAGGTCGTGGGGCATCGGGGACGGGCATGCAGATGAAGGGGATGTTGATGGAGCCATGATGCTGCCTTTAGACAGCGTGGATGGGATAGGAAATTGACTTTGGAAATGTGTGGCAAGGAGATTGACTTGAAAATTCCACGCATGAGCTGCCTTGGAGGCTCGGATAGAAGACAAGGTGAAGGACGACCAAGTAAAACAGGATGTATCGGTGGCCCATCAAGACCAAGATACTATCCATACTTGATCGCCTCCTTCATGGCAGACGGAAAATGAGAAATCCGGCCCAGAATACCGATATAAAAGCGATAACTCATGTCCTGAAGATTTGCGTCTGTAGGCTGCCGCGCGAAAGCCATGCACGTGGAGCACAGCCCCAAAAGCGACTTGTATTTTGGACGTCCGCATTCCATCTCTTTCTCTCACGCAGTTTCGAGGATATGAAAAGAAGAAGAAAAAAAAATACGACAGAAGAAGCGGGAAATCATGGACTATAATGTGGAAAGCGACTGACCTGTTGGATCTCGGTCCGGTACTTGGCCATCTTATCCTTTTCCGACATGATGACTTATTTATTTTGCACGTCGCAGGCTCCGATAAAAACATGCAAAGACGTGTCGCGAGGGAAATTAAAACAATCCAGAACACTAATAAAGAGTACAACGGGTGCTGTGTTTGGCGATGGGGCGGTTTGTGAATGAAGGGCCAGGTTTGTTCCGACGCGGTTCTGCGGTCTACTAGCGTGATTTCGCGGCAATGGCTGATGCGACGCTTGGCCCACCAGACAGCCAGAAAGAGAGACCGGGCGTTTCCAGGGCCAGCCCTATGGGTCTCCCCCTCCCCGCGCCAACTTTTTTTTTGGGGAATCTCGCGACATACCCCGCCACGAAACCTCTCTTTTTTTTTGTGTTCCCCAAAAAAACGCGCTCAGAAGCGACAAAAACATGCTGTACCTCGTGGGTCTCGGCTTGGCCGACGAAAAGGACATTACCGTCAAGGGTCTGGACATTGTCAAGAAGGCGGAGCGTGTCTACCTCGAGGCGTACACGGCGGTTCTGCTCGTGGAGAAGGATGTGCTTGTGAGTTTTTTTTGTTGATAACAACAGGCTGTAGGATTCCAGTTTCTGGGTGTCTAATTGGCACGGCAGTAGGAGGCTTTCTATGGCCGGGAAGTGATTATCGCCGACCGTGAGATGGTCGAGTCGTCAAGCGACGATATCCTCAAGGACGCCGACAAAGTCGATGTCGCATTCCTTGTAGTAGGAGACCCATTCGGGTACGCCAGCCTCGTGTTTTATTCGCACCAATATCGCAAGTCTAATAGTGCGTCAGGGCAACGACACATACAGACCTTGTTCTTCGCGCTCGCGAACTCTCCATTCCCACGCGCTCGATTCCCAATGCCAGTATTCTCACTTCCATTGGCACAACTGGCCTGCAGCTGTACAACTTTGGACAGACAGTATCCATGGTCTTTTTCCTGGATAATTGGAAGCCCGCTTCCTTTTACGACCGCATCAAAGAGAATGTTTCGATTGGCTTGCATACGCTCGTGCTCCTGGACATCAAGGTCAAGGAGCAAAGCCTGGAGAACATGGCGCGAGGACGCAAAATCTACGAGCCGCCGCGGTACATGACGGTTGCGCAGTGCGCGCAGCAGATGCTCGAGATTGAAGAGGATGTCAAGAAAGAGGGGGCCTACACAAAAGACAGTCTGGCCGTGGGTGTTGCGCGCGTCGGCGCAGAGGACCAGCAGATTGTGGCGGGAACACTGGCACAGCTTTGCGACGCGGATCTGGGAAAGCCGCTGCATAGTCTGGTGCTGTTGGGCAAGCGGACACACGACCTTGAGAGGGATTTCCTCGAGGAGTTCGCCGTGGACAAGGACAACTTTAGGGAGATTTGGAAGAGGGACTACGAGGGAAAGTCGTAGAGAACGACTAGTTCATGACTGTTATGCATATTCAACCACGCACATGCTGTCGCTGTTTCTGCCACGTTCAGAAATACATGAGTATTCATGAGAGTGAGTATTCATGAGAGTGAGTATTCATGAGAGTGAGTATTCATGAGAGTCCGTTCGCGGTAACTAAACAGTGCCCCTACATTACTCTTTACAATACCGTGCACATCGCCCCATTCCACTCACTCCTCCTATCTCCTCTCTTCGCCCAGACTTGCCTTTCCTGTCCGTACTTCCTCCTATCTGCATCTGGCCCTCCGTGTGCAGGACAGTTGTAATAAACCCATCTCGACATGACCATTGGCTCAAGGCAACTCTCGCCACGCTGTTGAGCGCTCACGCATGGTTGAACAGATTCATCTACGCAGTGACTATCGTTATTGGGACCGCGACCGCGGCTGTTGCGCTTGCAGCGCATGTAGTGTGTTCGGTATGCTGTGCACATTTTTCTCGGTCTGTTTCACAGGGGTAGAGGTTGAGGAGGGGGGAAAGGAAGAGGAGGAATTGGATTGGGAATACGAGCGTATATCAATCATGTTAGTGAGGGTATTGAAGAGGGTTGTTGTGGTGGTGCGTGGTGTTGGGGGCTCTCTGTCTTGAAGCATGTATGGAATGGAGATGGGTTTATCCCATGATATGGATTTTTGATCTATATTGGAGTAGCGTGATGATGGTGCCGAGTAGGTTAGATAGTATATCTCTAAGAGATAATTCCTCTTACCTATTGAACGCTACTTGTCATTCATCTTGGTCTGTATAAATGTGGCGTGATATCCTGATGGTGACATCTCATGCGCCTCTAGCGCGTATAGTGCTCCCGGGAGCTTGTTCAATCATCGTATTTGCAGGATGAAAATTCAGCACTTGTATGTCTTTCTCAAAATAACCGCGGTATAGCAAGCATCTGTTAGAAGGTAGAGGAGCCACGTAGACTGTCATAGGGGAGCCGAATCAAGCGCTTCTGACGTCACACTTAATCACCATTGGTGGACCCAACCCCATGGCACGATATCACAATGATCCTCACAACCCGCCGCGTACACCGGTCTTTTCCAGAATCCGAATATTCCGGCTCGGTGCTTCAGCGGCATGTCACGATCTACCAACGACAAAAAGCACCCCAGCTCGCCTGGTTCCAAGCTTCTCCAAGACATAACCAATTCACATCCGTCTCACGCACCTCTACCCCTGGATAGATACAGCGGTACCGAAGTATATCGAGAACGGAGCAAGAAGGAGCAGAATATGCAGAGCTCAACGCCCAAGAGCCATGGGCCAGACCGGCGGGTATCAAGCTCGAGACGTACGGCAAACGGATACATGCCGATTGAAGACTATGGGTTGATTGGGAATATGCGAACCTGTGCAATGGTTGCCTTGGATGGTGGCATCGATTATATGTGCTGGCCGTATTTTGACTCGCCATCTGTCTTCTGCCGGATCCTTGACAAAGAAAAGGGTGGCCACTTCACCATAGGCCCGACCAGCGACGACTTTTGTACGACGAAGCAACAGTATCTTCCTGCAAGCAACATCCTCCAAACGCGCTACTTGAAGGAGGAGGGCGTCATGAATGTCGTGGATTTCTTTCCAAGGCCAAACGACAAATACTGGGATGCCCAATTCCACGCCAATGTCATTGCCAGCGAACATACTGGCAAGGTGCCTGAGCGTCCTGATCTCAAAAAATGGCTCGTAAGGCGAGTGGAATGCATGCGAGGCACCGTAGAGGTGAGCGTCGAGGTATTCCCTGCTTTCAATTATGCCCAAGACAAACACACCACCGAGATTGCCGATTTAGGCAAGACGTCACGCGGACATGACCTGCAACGTGTGACCTTCACGTCCAAGGATCTGTCTTTGGAATTGAATGTGACCATTGACTGCGGAGACGAACCGGAAACGACCTGTCCAAAGATTATGTTTGAAAAGAAGCCAGACCCACAGAACTTGGGCGATGGAGTCACAGCTACTTTCACCTTGATCGAGGGACAGGCTGTATCCTTCATCTTGCGTGATGCAGACGATCACAATCCGGATATCATTGAAACCGAGCAGGTGACTGAGCTACAAAAGACGACCCATAAGTACTGGGCAACATGGATCCAGCAAAGCAAGTATGTGGGCACATGGCAAGAGGTTGTTGCACGGAGCCTGCTCCTGCTGAAAATGTTGACGTTCGAGCCAACTGGAGCCATTGTTGCTGCGCCAACATTCTCCTTACCAGAAGACTTTGGGGGTAGGTCGTCCACAATGGTGGTGATGAGGCGTGTACTAACAGAGTGTAGGTTCGCGCAACTGGGACTATCGTTACTCGTGGGTGAGAGATGCATCCTTCACCATATACATCCTCCTTCGTACAGGCTTCAGCCACGAAGCGGAAGCCTACGTGAGCTACATTTTCCAGCGCGTCAAAGAGGCCAAGGCACGCAACGGAGCCCTTCCTATCATGTTCAGCATCCATGGAGAAAGCGACTTGCCCGAAATGGAGCTTTCCCACCTGGAAGGCTATAGAGCGAGTCGGCCTGTCCGCATTGGAAATGGCGCAGCATCCCACGTACAACTCGACATTTACGGCGAGCTGATGGATGGAGTCTATCTGGCGAATAGATTTGGGCGGCCAATATCGTACGACCAGTGGCTGTCGGTACGAGAGATTGCAGATTACGTATGTACCATATGGAGGGAACCCGACATGTCGATCTGGGAGGTTCGTGGAATGAAGCAGAACTTTGTCTACAGTAAGATCATGCTGTGGGTAGCACTGGACCGAGCATTGCGACTGGCGGACAAGAGGAGTTTCCCGTGCCCGCACCGGGCAGAGTGGTACCGGGTTCGCGACGACATCTACGAGGAGGTCATGGAGAAGGGGTACAACGCCAAGCTCGAGTGCTTTGTCCAGAGCTATGAGTCAAACGAGGTTCTGGATTCGGCGGTGCTGATCGCGCCTCTGGTGTTCTTCATAGCGCCTACGGATCCCCGGTTCCTGAAGACGCTGGACCGCATACTGAAGGCCCCGGAGAAGGGCGGGTTGACGAGCACTGGCCTGGTATTCAGGTACAACCATGCGCTTAGTGATGACGGCGTCGGGGGGCAGGAAGGCAGTTTTTCCATGTGCACCTTTTGGCTGGTGGAGGCATTAACCAGAGTAAGCGCTACGGCGTCCCGCCCATCCGAAGCCTGTTTGCTAATGGGGGACAGGCTGGCTACTACGACGAAAAGTATCTCGTGCAAGCCGTGACGATGTTTGAGAACATGCTAAGCTTTGGCAACCACTTGCACATTTTCTCCGAGGAGATTGCGCGGTCAGGGGAGCAGCTGGGCAATACACCGCAGGCATTTAGCCATCTGGCGTTGATCTCGGCAGCCTTCAACCTCAACAAGACGCTGAGCAGCCGACAGAGGTAAGAAATGGTCAGATAGCAACGCAATGCAACGTGTGAGACGGACCGTCGAGTGCCGGGCGTTCGCGCTAGCCCCGAGGAGCAGCAAGCAGTCATGTTCGTCGCCCGTGTCAGTAAGATGGCAGGTTGGCTAGCCCAGCCGTGTGCCAGAGTCGTGGGATGCGCTGGCGCCGACAGGCCAATCGCTCCCCTGACGATGATGCGCACTGACTAGGCCCGTCTTACGCAGCCCGTCTCTCAAAGCTCTGCATGCCCTCTTCAAGCTTTCGACCAGTTGCTCGAACCCATCGCCGTCCGGCCATGACATAGACGCACGTTTCCTTCTCCCCCCGTGTCTACAAAAGACAGTCCGCTCTCTTGCTGCGCATTCCCTCGACGCCATCCGCCGCAATCCGTCACGCATCGCATTTCGTACATTTCCACGCCGCCATTCATCCTCCATGTCGCTCTCTAACTCGTCCTCTTCTTCTTCCTCAAGCGCATCGGCCCACTCGGCCATTGACGAGAACTGCGAGATGCATGCGCCTCGCACGGAGCTCCTGGTTCGCGACTTTGGCTGGCCTTCGCTTTCTCCCCGCTATCACGGCGACCACAGCCCCGAGAGCAATCCAGACTGGGACCACGACCCTCTACAAGGCGAAGAGGCCAAGCAAAAGGCCGTCCAGAAGATGGAAAGAAGCTACGCCATGTACCTGGCCAACATGGACGTCAAGAGGCCGATGCGAAAGAAGAAGACCTGGGCCCGTTTTCTGCCCTGGGGGCGTTGATGGTGCGCCGTGCTGCCCCCTTCATGCCCGCTTGGCCGACGCCATCGAAATTTACAAGATACCCATTTGTGAGGATAGAAGAGTGTAGAGTTGGATAGGCGGGTGGGACGCCTTGCCCTAGCTGCAGGCCTGACTCGGAGACTGCTCGGTCTCGTCGGATCCGACGTACTTATCGAGACCGCGCAACGAAAGAAGCAGCGGGGTTGGAAGTCGTCATCCGCCACCTTCGCCTTGGAGGAAGTTCGTTTGTGATACCCGATTTCAACTGTTGTTTCGTCTGCTTCCAAGATTGTTTCGCACTTTCTTTTACAGTCACCAGAGCACATGTTCTTTTGTTTACCCTGTTTACACAAGCATTTTTTTTCCCTGTTGCATCGACGCTCAAGCGGCTGAAAAGTCTACTATGTTCAGGGGCTATCTCAGCAACATCTGCCCACGTGCGGGGTTCAACTATTCCTTGGGGGTTCGGGAAATATCATCCACTCCACTATCATGCAGCCGTAGGCCTTTCCAGACCACGGACAGAAGATAATACTACAGCTCCACCGCCCGACGTGTCATTTTCTCCCTCGGTGCAACTATTCTGTCCGCAACGTCTTGATCCTCCGCCCCCTGTGAGTCGCTTGCTTACTCCATCCCATATCTACTTCTCCTACACTTGTCATCTGGTTGAACCAAGCATTCGCCATGGGCTCTGCACCTGGACAAAAGACTATGCGTGCACAGCAGTACGATGCACGAGACAACCAGCTTCATCTCAACGAAATACCTATCCCAGAGCCACGCGAACATGAAGTCCTCGTCAAGATGGAATGCGCATCTCTGTGCCACACCGACGTGATGCTTTTTGAGAAGAACGAGCAAGGGCTTATTCTCGGCAAAAACCCTGTTACCATTGGCCACGAAGGCACCGGCAGAGTCTTTTCAACTGGGTCAGGAGACCTCGCGCGGACGTTCAAACCAGGCGACCCAGTAGGCTTTCTTTGCGCCGTCGACTCGTGCTTCGAGTGCTATGCCTGCAAGAACGTCCACAATGCATGGTGTTCGACAGGCAAGACCAAGATACAGGGCTTCAGTGCCGACGGATACTTTGCAGAGTATGCAGTGGTCGACGCCAGAGAAGTCATAATATTGCCTGAGAATTGTTAGTCCATGTCCCGCGCCAACCAAAATGGGAAGAAAGAGTAGAGAAGAAGGCGAAACACTGACTCGGCTACCACAGTGGACCCAAGGACTTCGGCACCTCTTTTCTGTGCAGGTCTGACCGCGTATCATGGCATCGCAGACTGCGAGCTGCCTGCTGGTTCCTGGCTTGCTATTATCGGTTGCGGCGGCCTAGGTCACATGGGCATCCAATATGCCAAGGCCATGGGCTACAAAGTGATTGCATTGGATATCACGGATGCAGCCATAGAAGAAGCTAAGAGCTGTGGTGCGGATTACACCTTCAACTCCATGACGGATAAGGACTACAAGAAGAAGATTGTAGAGCTCACGGGCGGCGGCGTACATGCGGCAGTCAACTTCACGTCATCCAAGAAGTCGTATGATGACTGTCCAGCGATAGTCAAGCTCGGCGAGGGGTTGATCATGGTAGTGGGTATCCCACAGCAGCCCATCGAGTTCAATGCTCTGGATATTGCGCTTGGTCGTTATAGAATCAAGGGAGCGAGTAACGGAAGTAAGTGTAATCTGGCACTCATCCAAAACGATGAAGCTGACGGGATCCTAGCATGCTACAACATGAGGGAGGCTGTTGAGTTTTCGGCAAAGCACAACATCAAGCCGCATATGACGGTATTCAAGCTGGAGGAGGTGCCCAAGATGATTGAGCTGATGAACTCGCACAAGGCGAATGGGCGTATGGGCGTGGTTTTTGACTAGAAGCGACGGATGCGTGTAGGATCAAAGTAGTAGAAGTAAATCAAGCGGATAGCATGGAATGCGTGCAGCTGCCCGATGCCGTAATCCCTCGCAATGTTACCCCGGCAACGCTAGGCGGTCAGGGGAGGCGCGCTCTAGCGTGCGCCGACACACGCATGCCCCGCCAACCCTTAAACACACATGCACACGCTCAGCAACATCGACACCAGGTAGGGTCCTTCAATTCTCACTCTGTACTTTTTGATACCCTCCCTTTTCTTCTTTCTTTGTGATACCCCCCCCCCCTCTACCGGCGCCATGGGTTCCGACGACCTCATCGACTTCGAGGTGATCGAAAACCAAAAGGAAAACATCCAGTCTCTCCCCAGCGGGCGCTCCGCCAAAGCCCTCGCCCAGCTATACACACCGCCATTGACCTCAAAGCCCGGCCAGACGCCGTCGCCGTCGCAGATGCAGGATGCCAACAGCGCGGCCAGGCTCAAGTATGAGAAGGAGCTCATGGCCATTGACGACTCTGACGACCCGCTCGACGTTTACGACCGCTATGTCAAATGGACGCTGGACGCATACCCCTCCGCCCAGAACACGCCCCAGTCGCAGCTCTGCCCGCTGCTCGAGCGTGCGACCAAAGCCTTCCAATCCTCGCCGCAATACAAAAACGACGTCCGCTACCTCAAGCTGTGGCTCCACTACATCCACCTCTTCTCAGATGCGCCCCGCGAAACATTCGCTTACCTTGCCCGGCACCACATTGGCGAGGATCTGGCGCTGTACTATGAAGAATTTGCCGCCTGGCTAGAGTCCGCGGGCCGCTTTGCCCAAGCCGAAGAGGTTTACAACATGGGCATTGAGCGCAATGCGCGCCCCACCGAGCGCTTGATCCGCAAGTATGGCGAGTTCCAGCATCGATGCGAGAGCCGCCCGGAACAGGTCGAGGAGCCCTCGAGTCCTGCATTGCCTGCTGTGCGTCCAGCCCTAGCCGCAAAGATGGATCCTTTTGTGCATGCATCACCGAGCGCTCCCGCTCCGCAAGCGCAGGCCCAGCCAAAGCCTGCAGCAGGCACATCTCGCTCCGGAAAGCCTAAGCTCGCCATCTTCTCGGACGGTGATGATGCCGCGAGGCCCGCCTCGACCGGCAGCACCGAAGGTTGGGACAACATTGGGTCGCTTGCGGACCGCAAGAAGGAGAATGCGCACGAGCCGCGGCCTATGGCTGGCGAGACGCTCAAGGTGGGAAAGAAGAACACGGGCATGCCTAAAATGATGATTTTCAAGGATGAGGTGAGTTGAGCCACCTCTATTAGCCCCTTCACATATTTACGATGACAGGACTAATTGGTGGGCGTTTGCCATGCATGTATTCAGAACAAATCAAATCTCAATGACGAAAATGTCAACCCCCATCCGTTGCGTGAATATCAACAAGCTGTCAATCCTAGGACGGGACGAGTCGAGGTCGTCTTTGTCGATTTAGAAAAAGTGTATCCTAACCATGAAGATCCAATGTCCGAAGAATACTCGTTTGAAGAACTGCGGGCTAAACACAGGGGTTGGATGGACCACGACTGGGCAGCCATTCGCCGTAAAGAAGCGGAGCAGGCAAGGAAGGCTGCCGAGGCTGCTGCTACTGCACAGTCTAAAGCCAAAGCCATGCCTTTGGCACCTAAGCAAGAGCCCGAACAACCTGCTAAGCCCAAAACAGTGCCTCTAAAGGGAAGTGTTGACGATGACATGGGCAACGATGAGAATGCGCCGCCTTCGCAAGTGGACATGGACAAGGCCAAAGCAGCCAAGAAGGCCAGACGGGAAGAGCGCGCCAACAGGACTAGGAAAATCAAAGTCATGGAAACCAAGGAGGTTCGTGGAGAAACACAAACGAGTAAGTGGAATACAGATACCGGGTCTGCGGGTTTACTAACGCAGTACAGTCCAAGCCAACCTGGATTCGCCAGTAAAGTCCAAAGTCCGACGAAAGAAGGCGGGCTCTGAGATGACCATGACTCTGCATACCAAGGAGGCCATGGATGAAATCTACGACATATTTAACGAGCCACTGAAGAATGGTGACGAAAACGTGTCTGAAGTCCAGAGTGGTGAGGAGAGTAGCGAGGACGACGAAGACGACTACACAAGTGGAGCAGAGAGCACAGGCACTGGATGTGCTACAAGCGAGTTTGGCGATGAGACGACCGTGGGAGGAGACTTTACGCTTGGCACCCGAGTCCTTAATCACGACAACGATGACGATAGCGAAGCGGATGACACAGATGCGAGGAGTGTCTCTGAATCGTCTGACTTTACCGAGATCAAACCTGGAACAAGGGACGAGCAAGATGGGTCTGACAACGAGTCCGAGCATTCTGATCATTCTCAGGATGACTCGTTTGATGAATCATCGGACGCAGATGCTGAATCAGAGCAGCAACGAAACGAACGCGCCATGACTCCTACATCGCCTTCAGCGCCAGCATCGCTTCCTACGCGATTTGTCCCCGTACCACCCGAAGACTACAACCCTGCTATGCGACCATACAGGGATCCCGTCGTCGTCGCGAACAATCGGTTACCCTTTATGACGCCCATTGTTGAAAAAACCGAGTCTTCCTTGGGCATTGCGACTGCTGTAGCGCAGAAGGAGTACTTTGCTGCCAAGACACCATCGCGGTCAAAGGGTACGCCTGCTATCCTCGAGGATGATGATGAGGAAGAGCTTTGCAGTAGCCCCTTCTCTGATATTCTGGGACAAGTTATTGACGGACCAGGAAAAGTTGCAAAGCTAGCTTTGACCGAATCGAGACCAGTACCGAAAGAGCCTCTTGACGAACCTCAGCGGAGACCACTGGCTGCCAAGGAGAATTCAATTGCGGCGCCCAAGCTGAATGGTCCCATCATCAAGGATACACAGTGCAACCCAGTAGACGATAGTATCCGCAAAGCTATCTTGCATGATATTCAACCTCCACTGGATAGCTATGATGGTTACTATGCAGACACTGAGGAATGCTACGGCAAGGGTGCTGATATTCGCAAGTACACAAAGACCGTATCGAAGTTGGGCAAAACCGCAAACGACAAGAGTGCAACTGGCCCTGGTCTATGCCCTACCTTGCAATTTCCAGGAACAGATCGAACATACACCGTCAAGCGTGAGCTTGGTAAAGGCGCGTTCGCTCCAGTGTATCTGGTGGAGAGCAAAGAAGCCGAGAATGGCAACGAAAACCGGCCCTCGCAGATGGGCAAGGGCGAGTTTGGTTTAAAGCGTCAGGCTCTGGAGGCAATCAAGATGGAGGATCCACCTACGCCATGGGAGTTCTACATTATGCGACAAGCTAGGCGGCGACTGGGTGTATCTCGACCAGCTGAATCCATTGTTCAGGTGTATGAGATGCACGTCTTCAAGGACGAGTGTTATCTCGTTGAAGAGTACCGCGACCAAGGAACGCTACTCGACTTGGTGAACCTTGCTCGTGCGGACAACGGAGTCATGGACGAGCAACTTGCCATGTTCTTCACCGTCGAACTGTTTCGTACGGTCGAGGCTCTTCACTCCAAGGGCATAATACACGGCGACCTCAAGTCAGACAACATTCTCGTACGCTTCGACGCGCTACAAAAAGACGAACACTGGGACTCTGAGTACAAGCGCGATGGGCGTGACGGCTGGTCTGCCAAGGGCATTTCGTTAATCGACTTTGGTCGCGGTATCGACATGAAAGCCTTTAAGCCAGATGTACAATTTATCGCCGACTGGCCTACTACTGAGGCTGACTGCGCCGAGATGCGCGAACTGCGCCCCTGGACATACCAGATTGACTACCATGGGCTCGCGGGTATCGTGCACAACCTCCTGTTTGGAAAGTACATTTCTACCGTTGCTGACCGGGGTGCTACTCTTGGTGCCGGGGCGACCAAGACTTATAAGATCAAGGAGAGCCTGAAGCGTTATTGGCAAACAGAGATCTGGCAAGAATGCCTAGACCTACTATTGAACCCGCTGATGCATCTTGAGGGCGAGGAAGGGAGGAGGTTACCTGTGCTCAAGGGCATGAAGGACGTGAGGGAGAAGATGGAAGAGTATCTTGAGAACAACTGCGAAAAAGGCGTTGGTCTGAAGGTGCTTGTGCGACGGATGGAAGAAGCTGTGAAGCGGAGATGACGATTATGATTTTTATGCTTGGGAAATGTTGGCCATGTTGGGTATGTCTGGAGTTGAGGGCGCATCGCTCGGAGTTGTTGGACATTACTTAGACCTCAGTGATACCTTTATGAGCAATGACGGGGATAGTTAATTCAACACGCATCGTATAGTAAAGTCTGGAAATGACGGCATTTGGAGCATTGTTTGAAGTAGGTCGAAACGTGCAATCGTAGCATGATGTAAGTGCACCGCCACACACACACCAACTTTTAAGCAGAAATCTTTCATCAAAACTCGTCAATTTTCTATCAGATATAGGGGTAACGCGTCGCGAGAAACCGATTTACGCCACCTCTAATGTGTG